AATAAATGTATGATCTGAGATCTCTATAGGTTCCTATGGAAAACCCTAAGGGAATGCATTGGTGATCTTTGTGGGTTCCTATGGGAACCCTGTGAGAAACAGGCATATTTATAATATTTTCTGTTTTATCTTCTAATTGTTCTGATGTATTCCTTGTTGAATGAGATGTACGAATATGTGTTTACTTTCACAAATAGACAAGTTTTGATATGAATTAAAGTGCTCTGTGGAGACTATGTGAATATCATGAGATATGATGATGTGATATGATAATGAGACATGATAATGTGATATGAGAATGCATAGAGTCTTGATTAACATGCATCATTTGCATAAATATTTTTAAGGGTACAATACGGAATACACTGCCAGGGAAGCCCCCCTAGTGTAAAATCTTTGGGGATTAGTCCTTGGGGATAACTCAATTTGTAAGTCCCAGTCTCGCCCATTGTGCGAATGAGATGTATCTTGTGCGACAAGACCCTGGTAGTATGTCCTTCTAGTGAGAGTGCGTAGAGAGTGTGACCTGACATGTACTCCTAGATTACTCTTCGTGTATTGCTAGTGACAATATGCCATGGGATATGTTACTGGTGCCACATGCATGATAATATGTAGTCCATGTCCATACATATGCATTCTTAATGTTATAGATAAATTGATGTTTTTATGTCTTGGATGAGTGAGATGTGATATTATTATTAATCTATTTATGTTATACATGTTTTGTTTGTGTTTAACTATCTGGTATATATTCTTACACTGTGAGCCAGACTGAGATGGTTCTCACTCCATTTTCTTTTGTGTTGCTTTCCTTTAACTATTATACGGGTGATCATCAGCGTGGGGTTGAGGATGTTTGGTGATGAAGCTTAGGCTTCTATGTTGGGCTTTGCTCTGATAGGACATGTGACATCGAGGTGTAGATAGAATTAGATTAAAATGTTTTTTTTTTATAAATATGTTTTGGAAACCTTAACATTATTTCTTTGTAATTTCTGCTGATTGAGTTATTTGTTTAAGTTATTGATGTGGTACTCTCTATCTAAACACCTTTGGTATTTCAATTATGAAAAATTATGTTATTCAAATTTTGTTACCTATGTATTATGATATACGGGGTAGAGGGTGTCACAACATGTGTCTCTACACATGAACCCAAGATGTTTCTCACTCCTCTGTTGATCTTTGTATGTTTTCCTTGTGTTGTAGGAGATCATCAACATGAGAATGTTGGTGATGAGGCTTAGGCTTCAGTGGGCATGCACTGATATGATATGTGACATCGGGACTTAGTTAGAATTAACTTAGGAGTTTCGTTATTGTTATCGTGTTTTGGAAAGACCTATGTTTTATTTTGTTGTAATTTCCACACGGAACTATGATTTGTGAATTATGAATGTGAACTCTTTACCCTTGAGTTTTGGAACCTTATTTCTATTAAGAAGTTTTATTTATTTAGAAAATGTACTTTATATTTATCATGTAATTATGTATGTGAAGTAGAGGGTGTAACAAATTATTCTGCATAAATATAAAATATAATTCATATATTTAAAAATATTTATTTATAAATTTTATTAATGTAATATATATAGTAGAATATATCAAATTTATTATATGTATTATTTATCATAATTTTTTTATTTATATATAATTAACATTTAGAATATGTTTGAGACTTTGAGAAAGTTATGAACATCATATTATTTATGTGAATAATCAATCATTATTATAATTGATTATAATTAAAATAAAATTTTGTTTGGATAAATTGGTGGATAAACAATTTTAAGAGTTTATTTTTATTCAGATATAACAATAAAATCAATTTTTATATAATAAATCAACTTAAAAGAATAAAAATAATTTAAAAATAATCATAAACTTCAAAGTGTGTTTGAAAAAATTATGATAAATGACTCATTTCAATAATCAATTAAATGAATAATTAATTATTATTATAATTGATTACAATCATAATAATTTTTTTAAAAAAATAAGTTTGTTGATAAATGATTTTAAGATATTTTATTTTGTTTGAATATAATAAATAATAGTTTTATGCAGTAAATCAGCTTAAAAGGGAAAAAATGTTGAAGTTTCATGTTTTGTACTTCTTAAAAACAACTTATTCTTAAAAAGAAAAAAAGGTTTACAAGATTAAATTGTGGTACTAAACATATAACTTATTTTACAAATAATTTTTTTAAAATAAAAACATCTAAAATGTTAGATTATAAATTTTCCCAAATATACTTTCAAATTTTCAGCTTAATAAAAACAACTTATTTTTCAAAAACAAAAAAAAAAGAAAGAAAAAATTGTTTACAAGGAAAAAGAATTTGTTTACAAATTTAAGACATTGATCCAAATACAGTTTTATTTTGAATCATCAAATAGTTGTAATCTTACATAAATAGCCAAAATGAGAAAAATTAATCTCTTTCAAATACACTAGTAGCGGTATGATTCGAAATAATGCAAAATCAAACTTCATAATTTATGAAGAAATCATCAAACAAAAATTTAATTCATCAAATATGCATAACTTCAAATAAATATTCAAAAACACACATAATATATATATATATATATATATATATATATATATATATATATATATAAATTTAGATTAAGAAAATGTATAACTGTAAAGTTAATCACTAATTTGTTTTTTTTTTTTTAATTTTAATAGACCTATGGGTCACTTATTTTATTTCGACACAAATTCACATAAAAAATATAAAATATAAGAAAAATCATATTTCATTTTTGGTTAATAAAAATAAAGAAATTTAACGGGTTGTACTTCCCTTACGATGCAAACACGCTAAATATATGATACACATATATGTCAAAAGAAAAAAAATAAAATAATATAAGCTAAGTTTTTAAAGAAAAAAACATGGCATTCTATAATCATCCAAACTAAATAAATAAAAAAGTCGCATTCTATACGTAATACTTGGGTGGAGGACTTGGAAAACCTACAAAAGGCCATCGTGATTTTTATTTATTTATATATATACAAAAAACCATTGCAATTTGCACGGGAAATAGAACACTAAAGAACTAAAATTATCGTTACATCAGAATAATTCAAATCTAATGTAAAAACATTCAAAAAAAAATTAGTATGTTTATATGTTTGAAAAAGTGATTTAGAAAATATAATAAAACTTCCATCAGCTTATAAGTTTGCTAGCTTCAAACGGCCCATTGATGCACATACACTATAATCAACATTTTGCTAGCCATCTAGTTGAAGCTCAGTGATCTACATTCAAAAATTTTTACATAATCAACCAATCAGAAATCATGATTTGTATGACTTCTAAGGTAGTCATCTTAAAAGTCAAACAAATTTACATTTATGGTAAATTGTGATTGGATGATATGTGAAACTTTTTTGTATTGTATGTGCATGACCATTGAACTCTTTTCTTTTACTCCCCCTTTTACCCTTTTTCAACATCTTGTGTGTAGGAAGTTCCTGACAACGAGTTTGAGAAGCGCATAAGACAAGAGGTTATCCCTGCATATGAGATAGGGGTTACATTTGCAGATATTGGTTCGTTGGATGAGATCAAAGAATCACTTCAAGAGCTTGTGATGCTTCCTCTGAGAAGGCCAAACCTCTTCAAAGGTGGGCTTCTAAAGCCATGTAGAGGTATATTGCTTTTTGGGCCTCCTGGTACTTGAAAAATGCTAACAAAGGTAATTGCAAATGAAGCTGGCGCAAGTTTCATCAATGTCTCAATGTCAACCATCACATCAAAATGGTTTGGAGAAGTTGAAAAGAACGTGCGAGCACTATTCACACTAGCAGCTAAGGTTGCCCCTACAATTATATTTGTTGATGAGGTTGACAGCATTCTTGGACAGCGGACTAGAGTAGGAGAGCTATTGTGACAGGGCCTAATGAGCAAATTTTGGTTCTTGCTGCAACCAACAGGCCATTTGACCTTGATGAAGCTATCATAAGGTGTTTTCAGCGCAGGAAGGATCACACCTTTGTCTTATTGTTTGCACGTTCATTTTCTTCATAATGTAGTTTACATTTTTTATTGTTGAGTTTGGCACACCTATTCTGTAAAGGATGTGTAGATCATCATGGATTATGTTTAGGAAAAGGTTATCGGGTTTTGTTTGGATTTTCTACAAACAAATGAGCACCTGCACTAGGGGATTTATATTCTGTCATGCACGGTTTTGGAAGATGCAATGGCTTTGTAGGAAGTAGGAATATTTTTCAGCAATCCTTTTAGGTATGTATTATATATGATCAGAATTTTCAGACAGTTGAATTTTGTAAATTGATCGTGCAGTTGCACTGCTCATACAGTTTGGTTCAATTATTTATCTAAATTCAACTTAAAGATGGCTAATCATCTTTAAACAAAAATATCTAAGTGAAAAGCTTTGATAGAGAAAGGGAAATCCTGAAAGAATATTATTGTTTTTAAGATGATCATGGAATATAATGCTACCTAATGTAGTCTGAAACTCAAGGCTATGCTACGAGTAAGGAGCCAATGAGATTAATACCTAATTTGACAAATCTAAATTACATATTGACAAATCTTAAATCTAACACTTATGACACTCTTTATTCCATATACATAATACACAATAAATATAAAATATATTTTTAAGTAAAAAAAACTTTCATAATCGAAACAAGGTTCCAAAACACAGATAGAGAGTTCACATTCATATTTTAGAAATCGTAATCCAATGTGAAAATGATGACAAAATAAAATATTAATCTTTTCAAAATACGATAACAGTAATGAAACTCTTATGTTAATCCTGATTAAGCCCCGATGTCATATGTCCTATCAGAGCACACTCTACAATGAAACTTAAACCTCATCACCAATATCTTCTTGCTGATGATCACCAATATCTTCTTGTTGATGATCACCTGCAACATAATAAAAATACACATAGAGCAATAAGGAAGTGAGAAATGTGACGCCCTCTACCCCACAAAAGAGAAATATGAAAATTTAGACTTTAAAGAGCTGGCAACCTTGACAGAAGGATATACTGGAAGTGATCTTAAGGTGAATTTTGGTATTGATTTACTGGTTTTATTTATTATATTTTATTTTGGTGAAAATCTGTTGAAGTTAATTTCTATGAACAGAATTTGTGCATCACTGCGGCTTATCGACCTGTTAGGGAGCTAATATAGTAAGAGAGAATGAAGGAAATGGTAGTTATTCAACACTTATACTGTGTTAAGATTAAAATCTCCATCCAATGCAGAACTTTGGCATAAGATCTAACTATACAATTTCATCATATTTTAGGAAAACAAGAAAAGAGAAGCAGAAGGCCAAAGCTCAGAAGATGCTTCAAACAATAAAGATAAGGAAGACCAAGAAATTACCTTGAGGCCTTTAAACATGGAAGATATGAGACAAGCTAAGAGTCAAGTAGGTTGAACTGAATTGTTTTACTCAAATGGCCAGGGAGTACTTGATTTATTAAAATTTAGTAAAATCCTAAACGGTTGTTCAGTTGAAAACAATGATAGATACCTGGCACTATTGTCATGTGATCCATTTTTATTTTCACTTAAAATGGTAAGTTGTACATTTAAGTAAGAATTTCATACTAACAATGTCACTTTAGTGGGAGAAGTAAAGTGTGTTTTTTCCTTGTACATGAACTTACAAATATTTGATTAAATGCAGGTGGCTGCAAGTTTTGCATAAGAAGGATCTGTAATGAATGAGTTGAAGCAGTGGAATGATCTCTATGTAGAAGGTGGTTCAAGGAAGAAACAACAACTCACTTACTTCCTTTAGATTGTGGAACGCTACTTTTATTTTGGATTTGTTCAACATTCATCTCAACGATGCATTTAACTAAGGAGGAAGTCCTTCACTAGAGATGTTGAACTCAAAGCATGCCCAAATGTGAAAGAGATGTTATGATTCCCAAAAAAGCAAAAGTATTGGCACACCTATTCTGTAAAGGATGTGTAGATCATCATGGATTATGTTTAGTGTCGGGATAGCTAAGCCGCGCAAGATACATCCCATGCACACAATGGGCGAGACTGAGACTTCCAAACCGAGCTATCCCCAAGGACTAATCCCCAAAGCTTTTACACTAGGGGCTGTCTCTGGCGATGTATTCCATATCGTACCCTTAAAAATATTTATGCATATGACGCATGTCAATCAAGACTCCATGCTTTTCTCATATCACATTTTCATGTCTCATTCCCATTTCACATTATCATGTCTCATTCCCATATTACATTATCATGTCATCAACACATCTCATCATTACATTCACATCATATTCACAATTTTCACAGAGCACTTTAATTTATATCAAAACTCATCTATTTGCGAAATGAAACACATATTTACACTCCGCAAACATCAAAGAACACAACAGAAAACTCAGGAGATAAAACAAAAAACATTCATATTTTGCCCGTTTTCTCATAGGATTTCCCGTAGGAACCCACCGAGCATTCTAATATCATATAAAAACATATTCATTTTCAAAATTAACCACATACTCATGCATCACATCCAACAAGGAACACAACAAAGCAATCATAAGGCAAAACAGAAAACATTCATATTTTTCCCGTTTTCTCATAGGGTTTCCCGTAGGAACCCGAGTACATGCCGGGTCACACCCTCTGCGCACTCTCACTAGAAGGACATACTACCAGAGTCTTGTCGGGATAGCTAAGCCGCGCAAGATACATCCCATGCACACAATGGGCGAGACTGAGACTTCCAAACCGAGCTATCCCCAAGGACTAATCCCCAAAGCTTTTACACTAGGGGCTGTCTCTGGCGATGTATTCCATATCGTACCCTTAAAAATATTTATGCATATGACGCATGTCAATCAAGACTCCATGCTTTTCTCATATCACATTTTCATGTCTCATTCCCATTTCACATTATCATGTCTCATTCCCATATTACATTATCATGTCATCAACACATCTCATCATTACATTCACATCATATTCACAATTTTCACAGAGCACTTTAATTTATATCAAAACTCATCTATTTGCGAAATGAAACACATATTTACACTCCGCAAACATCAAAGAACACAACAGAAAACTCAGGAGATAAAACAAAAAACATTCATATTTTGCCCGTTTTCTCATAGGATTTCCCGTAGGAACCCACCGAGCATTCTAATATCATATAAAAACATATTCATTTTCAAAATTAACCACATACTCATGCATCACATCCAACAAGGAACACAACAAAGCAATCATAAGGCAAAACAGAAAACATTCATATTTTTCCCGTTTTCTCATAGGGTTTCCCGTAGGAACCCACAGAAATCTCAAATCATACGATTACAATTTTAAAACTGAAATTAATCATTCATTCAAGCAATTTATACAATTAATTATATACAAGAGGAACAATAGATGAAACAGATATAATTGGGGAAAACCCCTCATACATGAGCATACAACAAACACAGGATTGAAGGTCAATCCCACTACCCAACATACATTCCCACACCTAGAGTAAGGTTTCTCACTCCCCCTTACCTGGATGAGTAGAAGACGAATGGTCTTGGTGTGATCTAAAATCGTTCTTGAGTACTCTTCTTAGAGCTCTTTGTTTCTCCTCTTTTTTCTCCTAACCTTTCAGAATGCAAATGAGGCAAATAGGGTTAACACTACCTTACTCCTTTCTTAAAATTAATCCATTGGGTTGGGTCAATCCAACCTATTTTCCTTCTCTTCTAACTCACTTCTCTTTTTCCTCAAAATAATTAAATAAAATAAATACATGTATATTATAAAATATTTTTCCTCTATAATAATAATATGTTTCTGACCCCAAAATATAATAATATAATATCAATAAAAAAATATCATATAAAATCAACCTTCTCTTAAAATATATAAATATTTATTTAAAAAATGTTAATAAAAATATTTATTTAATACGTACAAAATAATATTCTTCTATAATTATTAAAATAATATGACCGAATACCATATAATAATAATAATAATAATAATAATAATAACCTTTTTGAAAACTGGGGTGTTACAAGAAACATGTCACTCTGGTTCAGATGCAAAATAAATGTTAGGCAACACACACACAATAATAACAAATACCATAGAAGTTACACATAACCAAGCACAACTCTCAAGTTACAGATACATTAGAACACATGCACATTCACTTATCATGCAATGATGTCATGAACTCGACTCATAAATGCATGCATGTGGTGCCATAGGAAAGTTACATATTTCTCATCACTAGTATGCTCCTACAACAACATATCGGGGGCACATTCATTCATAAATACATCACTGGTGATCCAAGGTACACCTAGAATAACTCAATACATTTCTAGCATGCGACCTAAGTGACACACTTGGAATAGTTAAATACACCACTACACCACTGGTATGCGGCATAAGCGACACACCTGGAGTCATATATGCACATGATGCATGTCACACATTCACTATTTCATTAACTCAACATTTCACTTATCACATCTCATCATATCTCATGTCACATTATATCATAATACAATGTCACAAGTCACATGTTCATTTTTCACATTTTCACATCATATTCACATAGTCTCACACAAGAAACTTCTCATAGTCATATATATCAGAATAACACATAAATGATACCAAGAAATTATTCAACATCATACACATTCAATTCACAATTCATAACATACGAAGCATAAAGGTCATAGACTGAACTTCATGATTTCTCGTATTTTCTACAACCAACCAGTTAATATTTCAATCGATCAAAACACTTCAAATATTACCCAAAACATGAGTCCATAATCAATTTTACGTATAATGCCTCAAAATTCATCCAAAGATCATATCCCTAATTTCACTTCATAGGGTTTCCCATAAGAATCTATAGAACACTCTAATTCATATCAAAACTTGTCTATTTTTGAAATTGATCACATATTCACATTCAGCAACCATCAAGGAACACAACAAAAAACTCAAACACAAAAATAGAAAATATTCGAAAAGTGCCTATTTCTAAGAGCACGCATCAGACAAAGGATTGGGGGTCAATTCTACTATCAAACATATCCAATATTAAAATTCAACACATGTTCATACTCAACATTCATCAAGGAACACAACAGAAAACTTAGAAGCCAAAACAGAAAATATTCAAAATTTTCCTAGTTTTCATAGGGTTTCGCGTAGGAAATAGAGCACACAAATTCATATCAAAACTTATCTATTCTTGAAATTAAATACATATTCATTCTTAGAATCACTCAAGAAATGCAACAAAACAATCAGAAAGCAAAACATAAACTTTTATAAAGTGCTTGTTGTTGGGATAAATTTCTTAAGCCAAATAGAAATTTTTCATTAATCAAAATTAAGAACCGTTGTCTCAGATTACAGAGTTAATGTTAATAACACGTACCTGTATCCATTGACGTTGATCAAAAGGTTGCAGCGGAATAGTCTTTTGGTGCAATGATCTTCCTCAACCAAATCACTGAATTCCTTGATGGGACTTGATGTTACTCTTCTAATGGGGAGACAGAGAGACGTGTGTTTCTGATTTGGCATATTGGGGACCATGACCATCTTTATGATTTTAAACCTATTAGGGTTCCCATTAACCCCTAACGGGCCAAATCTGGTTTCCACTTATTTGGGCCCATATCAGTTTTTCCTGTTGGCAGTCTAAAGGCTCACTAAAATTAGATCACTTTTATTGAGCCCAACTAAATGTAAATAACTAATATAAATACTACAAATAATATATGTAGCCCACAATAATTATTAGAAATAAAATTTCTAACAATCTCCCACTTGGGCTTTATATTCATTTAAGTATTTATATCACAAAAATCTTTAGGCGCGCAACCGTATGTTATTTACTTTTAGACTCCCCTTAAACAATCTGGTCCATCTCATACAACAACAGGGAATCACTACAGCTTTCATCACTACCAAATGTGACTAAACCATAATGATCACCACAATTGTATGCACTCAATGACATAGATCAAATATGGATAAGTGGCATGGAAATTACATGCAACGTGATCTTAGTCATGTCTATTTCCAACTGGTCCAAACTTTATTCTTTATAGAGATCCATTCAAAATGCAACATATATATATTGCACAAAATAAGCTCAGAATAGAGTTGTCAACTTTATTTCTGTAGAAAATCCAAATAATACAAACATTTGGAAAAATTAAAAATAAAGAAGACACAAAACATAAATGAGACTCCCACTAAACTAAGGTACTATAAGGAATTACACCCATATGAGCAGTGTGCTCATGAAAGACTTTAGGCACCAAACCCTTAGTAAGTGGATCAGCTAGCATAAAATTAGTCCCTATATGTTCTATAGAAATTTGCTTATTCTGAACTCTTTCCTTAACAACCAGAAACTTTATATCAATGAATTTTGACTTGGTTGTACTCCTATTGTTATTGGAATAAAGAACTGCAGAGTTATTATCACAATAGATTTTCAATGGCCTTTCAATGCCATTAACCACATGTAAATTAGTGATAAAATTTCGCAGCCATATCCCATGGTTGGATGCCTCAAAACAAGCAATGAACTTCGTAGCCATGGTTGATGAAGCTATAATAGTCTGTTTAACAGACTTCCAAGGGATAGCTTCTCCAGCCAACATAAAGATGTATCCAGATGTGGAGCATTTACTGTCTTGACATCCGGCAAAATCAGAGTCTGAGTATCCAATAATCTCTAAACTGTCTTACTTTTGATAAGTGAGCATATATCCTTTTGTTCTCTTCAAATAGTGCATTACACGCTTTACTGCCTTCCAATGTTGCATCCCAAGATTACTTAAGTATCTGCCTAAAACTCCCACTATAAATGCAGTATCAGGACGAGTACAAACTTGAGCATACATTAGACTTCCCACAGCTGAAACATATGGAATCTTTTGCATCTCATTTCTTTCAAGGTCATTATTAGGGCATTGTTTGAGGCTAAATTTGTCTCCCTTGGCTATAGGGGTATCTCCTGGTTTACTATCTTTCATGCCGAATCTATCTAAAACTTTATCGATATAGTTCTCTTGTGATAACCTTATGATACTATGAGAATGATCTCTTAGTATATTAATACCTAATACAAAAGAGGCTTCACCAAGATCTTTCATTTCAAAATTCTTTGTTAAAAATCTCTTGGTTTTGTGCAATAAGCCTATATCGTTGCTGGCAAGCAGTATATCATCGACATATAACACCAAGAATATATATTTACTCCCACTAAATTTATGATAAACACAATCATCAACTATATTTGCCTCAAAACCATATGAGGTAATAACTTGATGGAACTTGTGATACCATTGACGGGAAGCTTGTTTGAGACCATAGATGAATTTCTTTAGTTTGCATACCATGGACTTTAAGTCACCAGACACAAAATTTTATGATTGCATCATATAAATCGTTTCTTCAATGTCACCATTTAGAAACGCAGTTTTAACATTCATCTGATGGAGCTCTAAATCATAATGAGCTACGAGTGCCATTATTATTCTAAAAGAATCCTTTGAAGAAATCGGAGAAAAGGTTTCTTTGTAATCAATGCCTTCCTTTTGAGTGAAACCTTTAGCAACTTAACGAGCCTTATATCTCTCAATATTACCTTTTGAATCCCTCTTGGTTTTAAATATCCATTTACAACCAATAGGTTTCACACCTTCAGGTAATTCAACGAGATCCCAAACATCGTTGTCTTGCATAGATTTCATCTCATCCTTCATGGCATCAATCCACTTTTGAGAGCTAGAACTTTGCATAGCTTGACAGAAGTTGATTGGATCATCCTCTGTTAAACCAATGCCATCCTCATGTTCTTGAAGAAACACAATGTAATCATCTGGAATTGCACTTTTCCTTTCTCTAGTGGATCTCCTTAATGGCACTTCTTGAGATTGTTGAGCTTGCTCTATAGGTATTTGAGGGAGAACCTCAATATTGTCTTGTGTAGGGACAATGTCAGGAATAACTCCATGATTGTCACCTATTACTGGGGTAGGTACTGGAATAGTAATAGGCACGAGGACTTGATCATTGTCAATGACAGGTTCTTCCTCAAAGACAACATTTCTTATGTTCTCTTCCTTCCCAAACTCAACATCCTCAAGGAATCTCGCATTCCCCGTCTCAAAGAATGATCTAGTAGTGGGATTGTAAAATTTATAGCCTCGAGAGCATTCAGGATAACCAACAAAATAACAGCTAACAGTCCTTGACTCCAGCTTTCTTTCATGCGGCCTATAAGGACGCGCTTCAGTCGGACAACCCCAAATGTGTAAATGTTTTAGACTTGGCCTTTTACCCGTCCATAGCTCATAAGGAGTTTTGTTAACTGCTTTACTTGGTACCATATTTAGGATGTAGACTGCAATCTTAAGCGCTTCTCCCCACAATGACTCTGGTAAGGAAGAATGACTAATCATACTTGATGGCATCCTTGTTTCCATTGAAGAAGGAATGTTGAACAATGGCAAGGGATGCTTGAACTCCTTGGATCAAAGTTCCTCAAGGGGCGTTTTTAATGGAGGAATGGGGGCGGAAATGGAAGTGTTGAGGTTGGGTAGAACGTGTTTGATAAAATTCTTGAGGAGGGTACTCTAGGATTGGCTAACTTCATGATGATGAAGGCGACTTCTAGGGTTTTCTAGCTAATCCAAAGTCTCCAACTTTTGCTGTCATGTCCTCACCCAATAGAATGTTGGTAGGCTTCAAATCACAGTGCACAACTGGGATTTCACTATCATTGTGCAGGTAATCCAATGCACAAGCAACATCAATAGCTATGTTCAGTCTCTCCATAAGGTTCAACCCATTGCCGTTTGCATGCTTCCTCCTCCCCTTAATCCAATCTTCCAAGCTACCATTACACAGGTACTCATACACCAGAGCCAGAAAATCATTGTTTTTGAAGTCAACACTAGAGCATGATGTGATCAGCTTAACCAGATTTCTATGCCTTGAGTTCTTCATGGTCTCACATTCTGCAAAGAAACTCTTTAAAGAGCCAGTTCTTAGGGTGTCAAGAACTTTCACTGCAACAGTAGTTCCATGACTTAGATGGCCTTTATAAACTGAGCCAAAGCTACCAACTCCTATTAAGTTTTCCTGGCTGAACTCCTCGGTCGCCACACGGAGCTCATCATAAGAGATCATTGGTGCTTGAGGTTTCAGCTGTTCAGATACGGCTGCTGCCGCTGTTACCTTCACCCTTTTGTTCTTTATATACAGTAGTAGGCCAATTGTGAGACACAGTATTAATGTTACCACGATGGCTACGATGATGTAAAGTCTTACATTTCTTCCATGGCCATGAGGCATGCATGGGACACGCAAGCAGAGTTTTCTATTGCCTTCTAAATGGACAGCAGAGACATTTTGGAAAATTCCACCACTAGGAATGGCTCCTTCTAATAAGTTGAGTTGTATGTTGATAAGTTGAGTTGTATGTTGATAAGTTGAGTTGTACGTTGATGCGTTGAGTTGTATAGTTGTGCAAGGTTGATATTGGCTGAGTTGTTGTAGGCCTTAATGGCTGAGTTGTTGTAGGCCTTAATGGCTGAGTTGTTGTAGGCCTAAATGGCTGAGTTGTGGTAGGCCTTAACGGCTGAGTTGTTGTAGGAGAATCTCCGAGGTGATATGCGTGACGACGCATTTTTATCTGATTGATGGTTGGTTGCATAGGTTGATTGGAAATTAGAATGTTGTCGTGTTGACGGTTGAAGTTGTGCTGATTATTAGAATTTTGCTGTATGTTGTTCTTTTTATACTAGCTTACCCTTGCTGTTTCCTTGTGGTTGGACTGCTATGATCGTACGATGTACGGGAGCAGAACAAGAGTAGGTGTTTTGGTTCGTGGTGAGTCGGCAGCTGGTACGCAGAGTTGGTCGTGTTTGATTGACATTTTGTTGTAACAGCTACTAGGTGTAGCAGTGGCTTATGTATTTTGTTGGTTGGATGTTTTAATACACTCTAATTCTAGTCGGATCGAGGCTTTGTATATTTTTATATTCTAGACCCTATAATTATATACTTGCTCTTTCTGTCTAGTGTTTCCAGTGTCTTGAGGTTGACTTGTAGTGACCAGTCGGGTCGTTACACATTGCAATAAGAACTTCGTGACATTTAAATTTTCTTACATGCTTATTCTCTCCCACCAAATACAAGGTAAGTTCTATATTCTATTTTTAATGTACAAAATATTTTTATATACAACAATTATTTGTTGTTCAAAATTCGAATCATGACATTTTGTATTATTTTTGCACTACAAAAAAAAACACTCATTGCCAACGAACTTTTTCTCACTGATAAATATCTGTCTGAAATATGACATTACTGACAGATTTTTTTGAAGGATATGTGTCCATCTGAAACATAAACGATTCCTACAGATATTACCGACATATTTTTTTTGTCTAAAATTTCAGATGAATGTTACCCACAAATTTTTTCGTGGGAAAATTATGATGTTTCAGACAGATATTTCCCACGGATTATCTGTAACATCCCGAATTTTCTACTAGTATAATAGTTAATTATTATTTATTTTATATTTGTGGAAATTATTTTCTTACAGTTATTTTAATGGGTTTTATAGAATGTTTTAAAGGTTTTTAATAATTATGAGTATTCTAATAAAAATATATATTTATGAAAATTATTTTGTAGTATTTTTTATTTTTAGTAGCCTGGAACGGGCCGTTCTCAAATTAGAAAGGTCCGTTCTAGACTACTATAATGGCCTATAAAGACTAGGTTGGAACGGGCCGTTCCAACACATGAATATGTGCAGCTCTCCTATGCCAAAGCCAAATATTGTCTTCTTTGGTTATTAAGTATTTAGTGTTGGAAATTGCTATGGAGTGTTCTAAGTCAAGCATGTATATGATGTCAATTAAGTTCAGTTCAGTTCAGTTCGTTTTGCCCACCCCTATTTATAACATTCACAGAAAAATTATACAATTTCACAAAAGTTCGCTTTAATAAAAAATTCAATTTTTAATCGATCTCTTTATCCGTATAATCAATTAAACCAAATTGAAGTAAAAAAGAAAGACCAACGCATTCAAATACACGTATTGTCAATGAAGAAAGAAAAAGAATTGTAATAATATGCTTTAGAACCCCATAACCTAATGACAACGACGACTTTGATACCACTTGTTGGGATAAATTTCTTAAGCCAAATAGAATTTTTCCATTAATCAAAATTAAGAACCGTTGTCTCAAATTACAGAGTTAATGTTAATAACACGTACCTGTATCCATTGACGTTGATCAAAAGGTTGTAGCGGAATAGTCTTTTGGTGCAATGATCTTCCTCAACCAAATCACTGAATTCCTTGATGGGACTTGATGTTACTCTTCTAATGGGGAGACAGAGAGACGTGTGTTTCTGATTTGGCATATTGGGGACCATGACCATCTTTATGATTTTAAACCTATTAGGGTTCCCATTAACCCCTAACGGGTCAAATCTGGTTTCCACTTATTTGGGCCCATATCAGTTTTTTCTGTTGGCAGTCTAAAGGCTCACTAAAATTAGATCACTTGTATTGAGTCCAACTAAATGTAAATAACTAATATAAATACTACAAATAATATAGCCCACAATAATTATTAGAAATAAAATTTCTAACACTTGTTCCTATAGGCATACATCATGTAAGGGATTGAGGACCAATCCGACTACCCAATAATTATTCCCACACTCCCGAGTGAGGTTTTTCACTTCGCCCTTACATGGATGAGTAGAAGATGAAGCGCGTACGGTTCCCTAGTGATCTCCTCCTCCTGGTTCTCTTAAGTTTTTAGAGAGCGTAGAAGGAATGAGAAATAAGTAAGAAATGTGAAATAAAAACTCTCGACAACTCCCTTAACTTCTGATAACTTCTTTCTCTTAAAAAAATGAATAATAATAATAATAATTTACAAAAGATCATTATTACGTCCTTTCTTCCCTTCTCATAAAACAATTAAAAACAATCAAAATACACTTTCTCTTTTCTAATACAAAATAACATATGCTTAACTTTAATAAAATACATTTCATAAAAACCTATCTCATAATAACCAAATATTAATTAAAAATCATGTTTTATATTAAAATAGAGCTCACATAAAATAGATAAATAATATAAAATATACTTCTCCCTTATAAAAAAAATAATATATGTTTTATATAAAAAAAAACTCATATCAAATAGCTAAATAATATTAAAAATCATTCTAAGAAACATGTTAAAGCATTAAATTAAATACTATCATATTATCAATATAATTTTATGAAAATTAGGGTGTTACAACACCTAGGATGACAAAATTACCTATTTATGCGAGGATCCATAGATAAAATCTATCACAAATAATAAATATGAGTAGTCTAAATGATAGTCACGGGTAACAAATATAAATATTTTTTTTTGTTTATAAATGGGGTAAGGGTGGTTATGATAATATCTGTACCTGTGGGTATTTGTTAAATAATATTACTTAAATATTCATATTTTTATATTTTTAATATTTAAAAAAATTATCATTAATTATAAGTTTAAAAATTAATATCAATTGTTTATCTTTAATATTTCAATATATTTAATATCATATATAAGTTTAAAATTATTTATAATACTTTTTTTATTTTCAAATAAAACTCACAAGTATCCAATATTCGCTTAACGGATATCCACACTGATATAGGATAGGTATGAGACAAATTTTTAACTGATAGAACGAATACAAGTACCTTACTATTCGCCTCCATGAAACCCCGTTCCCATCCTTACTAACACCCTATTCCTTTACTAAAAAAAAATACATCCTATTGGTTTCTCGCTTAAAATCTAAATATCAAACTCTACTCATTTATACTCTTGTAGGTAAGTTATCTTAGTTTTCTTTTTACATTATCTGATATAATAGTTAGACATACTGAATTTATAATTTGTGGGATATATATATATATATATATATATATATATATATATATATATATATATATATATATATATATATATATATATATATATATATATATATATATATATATATATATATATATATATATATATATATATATATATATATATATATATATATATATATATATATATATATATATATATATATATATATATATATATATATATATATATATATATATATATATATATATATATATATATTATATAGACTACATTGGAAATAAATCTTTCTCAAAACTTTGATTGCATTAAAACTATTTCTTTTACATCATTTTTTTTTATCAAATTCCAAACTTGAAATCCAAACCATGAGATTAAAGACCAATTATAATACCAGTTGAAATAATGAATATTAGGTGTGGGATGTTTGATTTATTAAGAAATTCTATATTTTATTTTCTTCGTATGTGAAAATCTTGACCATCAATCACAATATAAACATGTCATCACATTAACATTTTGTTATGTCAATTTTTGACTTAAATGATCATTTACTTTGTTTTAATATATTATTCAATACATTTTTTTAATCATAATACTCCAATTAATTACTCAATTGATTGGATGTTACTTATATATATATATATATAAGGAGAGTTCAAACGACACCGGTGTAACTTTACTAAGTGTTACACTGCTCAATAACTTTATATGTATATATCAAATTTTGTTAAAATTCAAACAACAACTTTAAGGTGATCAAAATGTTCATATTTTAGTATATTTTAAAATGAATATATTACGTCAATTTTGTTTTATAAGAATGAAGTCTCAAATCATCTTGAATTAATATAAAATTTTATATATATGATCTAAGAGATATGAAGTTTCAATCTAATAGTTGAATTTTCAAATTTCACATTTAATATAAAGTTATTGAGCAGTATAATACTTAGTAAAAGTTACACTGGTGTTGTTCGAACCCTCCTCTCTCTCTCTCTCTCCCTCTCTCTCTCTCTCTCTTTTTTTTAATCATAATACTCCAATTAATTACTCAATTCCAATTGATTATCAGCAACATCCAATCAATTGAGTAATTAATTGGAGTATTATGATTAAAAAAAATGTATTGAATAATATATATAAATATATATATATATAAATATATATATATAAATATATATATATATATATAGGGTTATAATTACGCCGGTGTAACTTTTACCAAGTGTTATATCATTCAATATATAAATGTGAATTTTATAAATCCAACCGTTAGATTAAAAGTTTATATCACTTTATAGTTGTATATCAAATTTTGTTAAAATTGAACAACAATTTGAAGGTGATTAAAGTATTCATATTTTAGTATATTTTAAAATGAATATATTACGTTAATTTTATTTTATAAAATACATTTTTTTAATCATAATACTCCAATTAATTACTCAATTCCAATTGATTATCAGCAACATCCAATCAATTGAGTAATTAATTGGAGTATTATGATTAAAAAAAATGTATTGAATAATATATATAAATATATATATATATAAATATATATATATAAATATATATATATATATATAGGGTTATAATTACGCCGGTGTAACTTTTACCAAGTGTTATATCATTCAATATATAAATGTGAATTTTATAAATCCAACCGTTAGATTAAAAGTTTATATCACTTTATAGTTGTATATCAAATTTTGTTAAAATTGAACAACAATTTGAAGGTGATTAAAATATTCATATTTTAGTATATTTTAAAATGAATATATTACGTTAATTTTATTTTATAAAAATGAAGTATCAAATCATCTTGAATTAATATAAAATTTTGTATATATGATCTAAG